GACTTGCTTGATGTGATTGGGTGTGCGAATTATTTTAGTAAGTTTAACATTCGACATGACTTTCATCACATTCTAGTACAGGAAGAAGATCGACCAAAAACAATTTTTGTATTGTTTGAGGGCATCCTGTCTCCCTTCTGTACCCACCCTGCTGCGTCCGCAAAAATCTCTGACAACCTCCCACCACGATCCATCCTCTCACCCGTTACCCCAGGCATACAACCCTTGAGTTTGCGGGTGACCCTGTTGATCCCGCTCCAAGATACAGACTTCCCCTTCATCTTTGATGAAGGCGAAGGAGAACCTTGCACATGGTCGCGCCCTCCAGCCATGACCGCTGCTGCCGAACAATCGCCCCCACCAGTACTCCCACCTGAAAGGCAAGACCGTCGGCCGATAACGGTGCGGCCACCTCCCCCACCAACAACACTACCACCAGACTCGCCTCCTCGTCGACTCACCGCCCCTGCTCCCCATGACACCCCTCCCGGCTCGATAACCCTCTGACCTGTCAATTGCTTGAACAGGTCGGCCATCTCCATAGACCAATCACTATCCCTCGATACCCCCGAGGGAACTGCCGGACTGAGAGGCACGAAAGACGATTAAGGCACAACCTTCCAAAGTCGCTCCCATATATGTCTGCTCCTGCCCATCACTGGATCAATCCCGATTCCCGACATTGTGGCGCTCGAGTGTGGACATGGTGGACGCGCGTGCGTCAATGGCAGCAGCAAGAACTACCCCATCCACCTGTCGCTCCACCTGAATACAATCTCTACCCACATCATCCATCGCGATAGGACCATCCTRAGTGTGATCTGCAACCACATCCACCCCTCCAACTCCTACCCCTCCGTCCACTGCAGCAACGTCGACAAGTACTGTATCCACCTGCCCGTCTACCTCAGTGCGACTGCAACCAAGCAATCCTTCTGCGTCCGCAAAGGCCACACCGTCCGTAGTGGCCACACCGTCCGCAATGGCCACACCGTCCGCAATGGCCACACTGTCCGCAGTGGCCACACTGTCCGGAGCGGCCACACCGTCCGCAGTGGCCACACCGTCCGCAGTGGCCACACCATCCGCAGTGGCCACACCGTCCTCACACCGTCCGCAGTGGCCACACCATTTGCAGTGGCCACTACGTCCTCCCCCGTCACACCGTCCGCAGTGGGCACACCATCGCCCTCACCCCCCTCATCATCATCGGGGAGTCGCGTGACGCCGTCGCCACCTGTCTGATCCAACACATCCCTACTGGCCTTTTCGTCCCCGTCCGCAACATCGACCTCGTGTCCTTCTACGCGGACTCCTCCACCATCCCTAGCACCCACAGGACCACCATGTCTGCACTCTCCTGCTACTCTGGCAGCAGTGACCTCCTCCACTGTACACCCGATCTCCCTCGCCCTGGTCGTGTCCTGCTCCATTGCCACCCGCTCCGTCGTGGCACACCGTGCTACCATCTGTCTCAACCGCTCCTCCTCAAGTGCGTCCACAGGGTCCATGTCTAGCCGTCTGGCAACACCTCGAATCGGCGACAAAGGCATGTAGTCGTCGTTGTCACCATGTCTGCTCTCCTCTCTCTCGCCTATCGCTCTACCAGCCTCTGCCAACATCCCTGAACTCGCTCCACCAAAAACCGCCCCAATGTGGTGCGCTGCATCGCTCGCCGGAATCCGAACGCGCACCCCACCGTGACTCGCCTCCGAAGTGGGAGTAATGCCGACGTCGAAGTCTGATCAGGATATGCCCGAGGGAATCGATCCCTCCAGCACATCCAAACCAAACCCCTTCTCGCCTCCAACGCGCACACCCGCTGTGCAAGTGCCAGGAGGAAAAAAGGAATCGGTGACCGGCCGACTGTCAAATGCCCCCCCACCGTCGCCGTCGTCAAGCCCGTGCTGGTCCGCAAGTCTGGGGTGCTCTCCATCACCCATATAATCATCGTCATCCCCCTCGTCATCAGCAGCATCTCCGTCGTCACCTTCGTCATCCTCGCTCGAAGATCGTACAACCTGTGACTGGTTGCGACCTTTCGCGGCCATCCTCTCTGCTCTCGTAAATGGACGGGTGAGGCGATCGGCCTCTCAGTGGCTCTGCCGATCGCGCGACCGAATATCATTGCTGGGCACATGATCACTCTCGTCACCCTCACCGTCGTCAGGTGTGTCACTGCCTCCCTGCTCCAAGTCCTCCGGGTCCGTCCATGCCTCCGCCTCCATCTCATCCGCAGTCTGCGGATCGGTTGGCGGCTCGTACTCAATCTCCTCGTCGTACAACTCGATATGAGCCGCACGACGACCGAAAAGAGTCTGAACCGAAAGGGGTTGGTGGACTGTCGAGGCACGCTGCATCTTGCGCGCCTGCCGTCTGATCTCGTCATCCGTCAGTGATCCCGGCGATACAGTGCCTGATTTGCGCGGCTCCGGGACGTCGTCCAACCCCTCCTCGAGATCACCCCACAGAAAGACTAGTCCCCTTCTCCTCGCTCTACACGTCAGGAGCTTCTTGTTGGCGCACATCTCCACCATCTCAGTCAGCTTCTTGAAGTCCAACCCGTTGCGGCGCTTCTTGTGAATACGCTCATGCAGCACCCAGCTCCTCTTCGCAAGAGAGGCGCAGACCTATGTGTACATCAAATGCGTGGCGATGGTGCAAAGCTCAGGGGCTCACCCACCGTGCAAAACCCACCAATCAGCAATGGCCTGTGTCTCGTCCGGCCCCTCGCACGTGTCCTCGTTTCAAGTGCCTGCATCTCCACCCCAATCATACCTCGGACCACACCTCTGGAAGTCGTACAGCTGCTGGCGGACCAACCTGTACATCTGTCCCTGTCGGTCAAAGCCCGTCTGTGTGTATATGTACTCTGGTGTCATCTCCGCCACCTTCTTTTGCTGATCGCTGCGCCTTGGAGACTGGAAGGAAACGAAGTTCCGCCTCTTCGGATTTACAAGATGGGCGGCAGCATGGGCGGGCTCCAACAGATGGCATGCCCGAGCGTAACAATCCTGCAGCATGCCAACCAGGCGAGGTCTCGCCAACTCCAACTTCTGAATCTCCTCAGCCAACTGGGTCACCCACCGGAAGATGCACGCGATCATCAAACCCCCCTGGTCCAACATCCTCAACAACTGCACGACAGGGGTGAAGACGTCGATGAGATCATCCATCTCCTCCCAAAACAACCCGCATCGCACCTGCGTGTGCACCCAACCAGCCTGCGCGAGTAGCCTCCTCTCCCATGGAAGTCGTGCCCAATAGCCCTCCAACATCATCGTCTCAAGTGCAACCCTCCGGTCACGCAACCTCTCCATCATGATGTTCATAGATGTCAATCGCGTCTCGCGAGGGTACAACAACTCTCGCCCCTATCATGGCTTGCATGTTGTGCCCCCTCCACTTGTTGCGTTGCTACCCGATGGCTCGACCCTTGTGTCGCGATCAGTCCTGGCGCTGTGCATCCTGAACAAGGCGAGAGCCGACCCGTGAGATCTGATAAATCGGACAACCGCCCTCGACCTCGTCAGCAACTCGACAACCCATTTCTTGTCCTTATCCATGTCTGACAACATGAAGTTGCAGCAATGGACAGAACAAGGGAGCCATGGGATGCAACGGATATCTGGATCGGGATCGTTTTGAAGCGCTCGACCGGCGGCAACATAAACTGATGCCGAGTCCGTGCAGATCACGTTGACCTTCTTCGCGCCCAACTCTTTGAACACCTTCTTCCGCCGCCGCAAGACGACGTTTGTCGTCTCTGCCTCAACCCCGTCCCTGCGCACCGTCGTGTAAAGGAATGCGCCCGACTCTCCAGCTACCAAGAAGTTCACAATGGGCTCAGAGTCGAGAGACTTCCTCCCATCCGTGAGGATGGTAGCCCCCATGTGCTACATCTGGTCGTGTATGTCACGTAGCTTATCAGCTATGTGCACACGCTCCTCATGTATGCCACTGCCGGCAATGCGCTGGAACTCGGGCAAGGCAGGCTTCATGCCCCTGGGCATTTTCTGCAGATGTTGTGAGAGGGTCCTATACTCAGCCATCCTGGCCCTTTCAAATGGGACGCCGCCAATGTACCACCACTGTAGGAACAGATGGTCGAAGGTGGCCTGCCACTCCGGATCGTACACCTGGTCCAGCCTAACCTGCTGCAAGCGTTTCTGGTCTGGAACGCTTGGTGCAAGATTACTGTCCGCCTTCCTCTTCCCTTGGCCATCCATAGCGGCCGCACATGACATCGTCTGATCTGTTTTGTGTCCCGCCTTGACTGCCCCCCCCTTGCAGGGACGCTCCTAAGTCCTGCACATCGTCCTTATCGCAAAGCCCCTCTGCTCCCTCACCTGGGCCCACCCGATTGTCCTCACCGTCCCGCTCTCCTCCCTCTACGCCCGCCCCGTCCTTGTCCAAAACATCCTTTACCTCGTCATCTTCCGCCCCTCCAACTCCTTCTTCTCTCCTATTCCGGATGCTACGATAGGCCATGTAATCCCGGACCTGTCTCTCTTGCCGCTGGTCGAAAGGGTACTTTGTCCAATTCCAAATGTCGACGAGTATCTCAAGTATCACCCTCGAGCATCTCCCCTTCGTGAAGTGCTCGGCCCCCCGCATCTGACTGCCCTGAAAAGGGGGTTTATCGCCAAAATTGCACTTCATCTTGAAGTTGCCCTTGCGACTCTCCGGCGTCTAACCCTTCGTGAGGTATTTGTAAACACAACACCGGCCAATTGCCTCGCGCTGCTCCTCCTCGCTGACGGGCTTGAAGGGCTCCTTAGCGCCCTCGCCTTCCCCCTTTCTCTTCGTCCTAGTAGCCATTTTGTTGTTTGCTGGCCCCCGGCACGGGCGCCAACACCCGGCAAGGTGGCCAAGTCATCCCCC